TGTTTTGCATTGAAATCTTCAAAAGACGTGTCTTTAACTTCGATCCAATCAAATGAACCTTGATAATCTGCTGTTGACGAAGCTCCAGTCAAAGTTACTTCTTGTTTTGCCCTTCGCCTGCTTTATAACGAACTACTCCCGAAATTTTCTTTATAACATTTACTTTTTTGCAATTTGTGAAATTAGGGTCCACCGGGTGTCAGAGGACCTGAGGGCGAAATCGGACCAGAGGGTATCCCTGTAAGTAACATTTTTAGTCTTTCCCGCCAAATCTCTTCCATATTTAATTCGCTCAGTAAAATGGTTTTCTCAGCTTTTATCGACTTAACCAGAATACTGTCGTGAAGTCTGCAATTTCCTGCGTTGATTCCAGTATCAAAAACTTTGGTTGTATTGGATTACCAATGCAGACATGCTTTTTCGGATCAGCACTAATAAGCACAAGTTTCTTCATTTAAGAGACATTATAAACTTTTCAACCATTGAAATTGAGCATCACTCAACACCATAACCAAATAATCAGTTCTAGCATGACTTAATACTTGTAAGTTTCCACAATAGCAGTCCCATTGAAGTTGCTCCAAACATGGTTACTTCCCTTGTAACTTTAGGGGCCTACTGGACCAGATGGTGGAAAGGGTGAGACAGGTCCGAAGGGACCAAAAGGCGCCTATGGTGCGGTGGGTCCTATGGGGCCGCCTGGACAAAGGGGCGAGCGTGGTCCAACAGGTTTAGAGGGTGAACGCGGACGCGCCGGTCCTAAGGGAGCTCAAGGACCGCCTGGACCTACCGGCAACCCTGGCCCACCTGGTGACCCCGGCCCGCCTGGTCCCGAAGGACCTATGGGCGTTCATGGACCTGTTGGTGAGTATTTGGCTCTTCCATCGAACTGCTGGCAACATTTGAATCCATGCCCTAAACTCACTGATTTTATTAATGGGGTCTAAGGACCTAGCGGTCCACGCGGTCCGAAGGGCAAACCAGGCCCTCAGGGTCCTCCCGGTCCTCCTGGTCCCGTAAAGATCCTCGACCTCACAGCCGGATACTTCAAATTCGAACCTGGTCGCACCAGGAGAAGCATCAACGAAGATGAGCTCTACGATATGAAGGATCCTGATGCCAACCTCTTCCCCAACAATGTACCAGCTATAGGCGCAGTATTGCGTCGACTTTACGCACGCATTGAAAGTCTAGAGTCGGCGGTAAGGTACCATCGACGCCCCATTGGTACGCGCGCTTATCCAGCGCGTCACTGCCGCGAGATCATGGAATCCACAGACTCGCCGCATGAGCCCGTCTCCGGTGAGTACTGGATTGATCCCAATCTTGGCTCAAGTCGCGATGCAATCAAGGTGGAATGCAAATTCTCTGGCAATGTTGCCAAGACTTGTGTCCATGCTACACCTGAGTCCAAGGCGGTGAGTCCGTAACTTGCTGAATGTGTCTGGTTTTGTGTAGTTTTTCCGCTGATTAAGGTGAATAGGTGAATAGTCGTGTGACTTCTCACTTTTTCCTCAATGCTGCCGTTAATTGGGACGTTGTCTTGCGTTGAGTTGAAATTAACCGAACTTGAATGCTTAAAATTGAAGGGTAACTAACTCTTACCTACTTAGTATTTAATTGGGTATTTACTTATGGTTTTATTGCAGCTCCGTCTGGTTAACTTGAAGAAGAGCGGTGGCGAAGGCAGCTGGTGGTTCTCCAAGCTCCTCGAAGGGAACACCAATGGTACTCAGCGTGTAGGTGAAATATTTGGTAGCTTACAAGTCATACAGCTTTCTTGACCAAGGGCACATAAGTTAAGCAGTCCGTTTAGAGCGAACAGGTATTGATAGCATTTTCAGATCACATATTTCCCATTATCGCACCACTGTAGGTTCTGTAGTACGATTAATGGTTTGCAGTTCAAATATTCATAGGTATGAGGCCACGATTGATTGTGTTAATGAGGCTAAATTTGCTCTACGCTTTCTTACGCCCTTTGCAGCTGTTCTATGCACCTCGAAACCAGTTGAACTTCCTGCAGTTACTGCACCGCCGGGCAGAGCAGTCGATTACGGCACTTTGTCGTGGCTCTGTTGTCTACTACGATAGCCGCAACAAGAACTACGACTCTGCGGCCAACTTGCTCCTCTTTAATGGCAAGGTAATCAACACCCATCTTGATCGACGAGTACGCGGAGAAGGAGGTTTCGTTCAGTTGGAAGTCAATATCAAGGATGATTGTATGGTGCGTTCACTCCCCTGTTTTGGTTCTGAGCCATTCGACTTTATTTACAAACGAAAGGAAGGTAGAATGTAGGGGTTAAACAAATCCTAGGGATTGTGCAGGGGGTAACAGTCTGGATTGTTGTCTTCTGAGATCTTCGGGTCTGTACTGGTGGATCACGGGATGCTGAACTGTTGGATGATTCTTTTAAACATCTAAATGGTGATGCCGTTTTTAGGATCGCTCACCCACCGGCTCGACGGCTAGCTTCGACCTAGTTGCCAATCACCCGGAGCTTCTGCCCGTCATGGACATAAAAATGTTCGACTTTGGCGAGGAAAACCAGCAGCTTGGTTACTACGTCAACGATGTCTGCTTCTCCTAGTCATCCTTCGAACGTCTAGATTTTCTTGTGCTTTAATCACTTACCAGTTCTAAATAGCAATTAAAACAAATAAACCACCTGTTGGTCCTCATTTTTGCGCCAAATATGCAGCCAATTTCCTCAACGTGTACACCAGAATCCACCTCTCCTCTCTTTCCTACTCTTTGTTCTCCCTTTCAACGCAAACTTTCTCTTCTTTCCTGTTCATCTTGTTTTGTGATACTGTATGGCTAAATACATTTCACACCTGTGCCTTATTCTCATGTCCAGGCCAGCGAAGTTTGAGCACATATGCTTGCGTGCGGCAGCAAGGGAACCATGCTGGCGAAGGATTAATTCAATCTTCCCTATGTGCACTCTTCAAATTGTGCGGTCCGATGCTTTTTGTCCAAAACAATAACAAAGGGTTGTGCAACTTTAAGCTGTTCGCTTTTCTACTGCTTACTTCTATATCCGGCTTGCGTGGTTGACGTCTTGTAATGGTATGAACTGATCTGCGGGTAGCATAAACGAGAGCCAGATAAACTAGCCGCCAAGGGACTACCGAAAGTGGTGTTGTGGATGCGATTGCTTTCCAAATTTGCAAAACACTTGTAATACTTGCGCCACTGACGGTTTGCTGTCAAGTGAAAACGTGGCTTCCAGGTCATGCCACTTATCGCTAAGCCCGCATTCGTACTTTTTTAACTATAGATCCCTATGTGTTGTAGAAGGGCTGAGGGTTTGTGAACACGGTGTATAAGCCATTCCATTCAACAGTAAACGCAATCCTAAAGAGAGCAGAAGTGTCGTAGTCAAGCAAAGAATCAATCTACAGAGGGACTAATTACGCACCCTCTACTTTTTCCATACCAGCATTCCTTGTGTTCCTTTGCCGTACCGACCATCAGTATGGTAGACGATCTAAAAGCGTTCATAAATAATGTACTCCGGCCACTAAGTATTAATTATTTATTTATTATTATTTCTAAACACTGGTGAGGCTCTTAGCAATTCCATAGGATTCACCACTAAATCTGCTTTGAGAATTACATTGAAAAGCTGTTATTCTTGTCACACCAACCGATAATCACGGGAGCAGTTATCTCAAAGCCGGTTCACCAAATGCGAGACAAAGCTTGCTCTCCTGCCCTTATATTATCATTGCAGTGGTCTCCGCCATTAAGGAGGGTACCGCTGATTCGCGTGACGATATGAGAGAGAGGTTGTTGCTATCGCAGATGGACGCCAAGTTGGTTTTTTTATTTAGATGATTCGCATTCATAGTAAAAATTTCCCTCCGTGAAGTTGAGGTCTAAAGCCCGAGTAAAGGAATAAGGCCAGTTTCGTGTTAAAATTGGAAGGTTGCTTTTATTTTGACCATAACACATGGTACTGGGACCAAATAAATTGCACGGAGGCTCAGAACTCCAAATTCTTTTGGTTTGACTTGATGTCATGCCTAATCGTGTATATTTGACTTGCGAATGGCGGTTATGCTCAGTGATTGGGCTACACTGGTGGCAGCGCCAGCCAAAATTCCTCCCTTTAAAGGAGGATTTGCAGTACCCTCTTTTCCGTAATAGCCATCACATTAACCAATTCATGTGATCTCTGCTAACAGCTAACACGAGTCATGGGTGGTGATAGAAAGGAGTTAGCAATTACTCAGACGTTCTCCTGAGCGGGGGTAAAGCTGGGATGAAAGAGCATTGTTAACCGCACGATCGATATCTGCAAGGCTAATCCCGTACGGCAACCACCATTAGCGCATTTAACCGCCCCTCCAAGATGAACTACGTCGGTTGATTAACGAGAAGCCTCCAAATCACTCTGAACCTTCCTCATCGAATTAGTAAAAATAAGTGAAGATAGTTTACGTCTGTGCGTCGATTATAAAGTAGTTCTTTACGCTAGACTTTAAATCTGACAATTCGCAAGAGAAGATAGAGAAGAACGATCGAGAATAAACGGCTTTTATTGTACTAAACGGTCTTTGGGAGCTCCAAACAATTCCGTTTGGTCTCTAGAACGCCGAGGTCACTTTCCAATGACTAATGCAGACAGCTTCGCGCGGCCTCTTCCCGAAGCAATGCTTTATCTACCTAAATGACATACTCGTCTTCGGTAAGGATATCCGACAATGCAACCTCAATCTCCGACTGGTGTTTGATCGTCTCCGAGAAGCCGGTTTATCATTAAGCTTAAAGAAATATTGTTCTTTTAGGAAACCTGTCACCTTCTTGGCCATCTGGCTTCTGTTGATGGGATGGCGGTCACGGAAGACGTATGGAACAGGTAAGGACTTGACTGACACCAACGATGTAAATTGAGCTCTGCAGTCTTCTCGAGTTGGTGAATTATTGTTGCAGTTTCGTCAAAGGTTTTGCTAAGATCGCAAGTCCACTACACAGGCTGACAGAGAAGCAAGCGAGAAAGGAGTTTCGTTAAGAAATGGAACACACAGAGACGTTTAAGGAGGTGAAGAGCGCCCTCTGAAGTGCACTGATACCGGCTCTACCTAACTTCGAGACACATGCGAAGGCTATAGCAGTAAGCGATGTACTCTCTCAAAAGCATAAAGATGAGAGAGAATACATTGCCAACGCTAGTTCGCGGTTAAATAACAAAGGTGCTACAGAAGAGCGCAATGGGACGGGAACCATTTGCCGTATATGCAATGACAAGGCACTTCAAACATGTTCTGATAGGTGAATAATTCATGGGGCTTACAGACCATCAGGCCCTAGCGATAAAAGAAGTCCATCGCTCAGTTGCTCGCTGGTATGAGGAACACAATTTCGCGCAGCATAGGAGCTGGGGTGATCGCGACATTGCGGACGCCCTTATATATGAGAAGCCACGGACAGCCTCAGCTAAGTCTACAGCCTAGGAGATGGGCTTGGAAAATAAGGGAGCCAAACGACTATGGAAGAGCTTGGAAAAACTCTCTCTAAAAGATGGTGTCGTGCTATACAAATACGATGCAGCGATTCGCAAACGTCTCGTTGATGACGTAAACAGCTCTGCTGGAGTTACAGTAGTAACTTGGCTATGGGGGAAAAGGAAGGTATTTGGTATCACAAAGGAGAAATATTGGTGACGCTCGCTGACATCGGATGTCCTCGACTTCTGTCGCAGCAGCACCGCGTGCACTAAGGCTGCTGAAGTTGGACTCGTGCAGGCATAGGGAGCTAGGACTGTGATGAGTGCATTCTTCAATTGATAGATCTGTCAACACTTCGTTCCCGAATCTGCTCGTAGCAACTAGGAGAGTACGGCAAGAGGACTGAGATCTATGCTTACCGAGCCTCTACTCACACTTTGACCGGAATCTCACCCTTCAAGATATTTATGAGTCGCAAAATGACAGACAGACAGAGCCTCACCGGCGTCTTCGTCGGCGAAGATCCAATGCAACCATACAGACCGGTTCCCTCTCCAGGAACGCATCGAAAATTCTGCCACCCCGAACTTTGTTCGGAATGTGAAGATCTCATCCCAGCCAATAATAAGACAAGGCCCTACACAGGCACCGGACGAAGTCTATGCGTTGACAGAAGAGAAGCCGTATGACGGATTTTTATGGGCAGCCCAGAGGACGGTGCTTAAAAGAGAAGGGGTTGTATAATGTTTTAATCAGTCTTGCAGGTCAGAACGAGGATATAGAAGCTAGCGCCGTATTGGAAGGAGGAAATTACGCCTCTCTTGCCTCGTTCTAAGTACAACCGCTCTCCTTCGGTACCGAATAAAATACGTGTAAATAAATTATTTTAAGGAAACGTCATGGAAAGTTTTGGACGATGATAAGGCTGAGGCTACGATTACATGTTAAGCCCAACTTAGTGTCTTCTATTTAGTGGGGAGTCTCGGGACACTACAGTCATTTCTATGTTTGTTTGCTAAGGCATTGTGTAAGTGCCATTCACTTTACAAAAGTAAATGCACTATGCCCAAGCATCATACTATTTCTGCCTTTAAGAAAACACTGAGAGGCTGAAGAGCTATTATAAAAGCATTCTGGCATCAGGAGACTTTCCATTGGGTAGACGAAGGCAGTAAGCGGAGCTGTATTCTAGGGAGAGAAAAGGGATCAAGCCTGAGCCTGGTGCGAAAGTAAGCTCAAGCGTACAAGGACGCGACGAATCTTAGGACAACCGCCAGACACTGGGTGACCGCATAAACAATTAACCATGTCCTCTCTAATGATGTTAAAAATAGGTAAACGTTTCTACAGCGTGTTTTGCTTTGCTAATTTGCTCACTTGTATGACTGGTGGTCACCGAAGTGTCCACCTTACTTTTGTCGTATGGGCTTGCCTCCTGGCTAGACCATAGGCTTCCTTTTACTATCTCTGTCTGGCCATAAGTATTCAGCAGTGCCCGATACTTTCTAGCACCGATAATGGTGTTTCATTCTATTTTTGTGGATGCCGTTTGTTGCAGGTACCAGCGGAGTAGAGGAGGCGCATTTACATCTGGCACGAGAGGTGTACCAAGAGAGCACCTAAGGGAGGAACGTTGTGG